AATCTGCTCCAGCAGCTAAATAAACTGTTTAAGGTAACGTTAGCTTGATATGTTAGCTTCCATTGCCACCGTTGTTATCAGCTAATGGTGCGTTCACTTTCTCCTCGGAAATTCTGACTTCCCAGTAGGAAAAATCAAAAGAAAAAGGACGGTAAAAGGAATGAAGATACACAGTAAATTTAGTTCTCAGTAAAGATGTTTGCTTCAGTTTAATTATCAGCTTATAAAACTACAAGGACGATGTTAAAATACAAACAGTTGTATGTTATTTATCGTGATATTTATCAAATATGGTTATATAATGAAAAAAATATATATTTAATTATAAAAGAGAAGTAAAATATTAAACACTCAAAAGTATCAAATCGATACCGTTAAGTACCGGTATCGGTTCGTAGGTACTGGGAATCAGTACCGGATCGATTCAAATGTCAACGGTACCCATCCCTACCAGAAAGTAGCTAAGGGTCCTCAGAAATGTAGCTAGCTTTGTCACTAGGCGTTAGGAACAGCGACAAAGTGGCACTGCCTCTCTCTCTGCTGCTAAAGCTACGGATAGCAAATGCTACGGGCGATGCCTGAGCGTGAACGCGCATGAAGCAGCCTGCTCGACTCGAGCATCTCTCTTTTTCTGTGATTTTACAGAAAAACAGGCAATCCCAGTAAAAATGCCAGGGCTCATTCTACAGGACCAGGGCGTTGCAGGAGAATGTATGAAGAAGACATTTATTATTTCTACACATGTTTTGGCTGTCACACTTCCATAATGCCCCTTTAAGGAGTTTGTGTTGAAATAAATTCTTCCTCCTGTTTGTTTCAGGGATGCTTTAAAGTCATACTGTATCAGTAAACGTGGCTGTGTCCGAAAAGGCTGACGTTTACTGACTTTGTGTTCTGACCATCAGTTTTATGTGAACCTGCAAACATTCATTCATTTGGGGCAGCAGTAGCTCAGGCGGTAGAGCAGCTTGTAATCGGAGGCTTGTAGATCGATCCTGGCTCTCGGCAGTCTGTCAGAGTGTCCCAGGACGTCTGTAGCTATAGTGTAGCTCATCACCACCGGCGTGTGAATGGATGAATACAACACCAGCGTAAACTACTGAATCAGGAGAGCTTCGATACACCATTTCTGCATGTTTTAGATCATGAACACAGCTTACTGGTCTGATTTAGTGATGAACTGCTCCTGTAGACACTAGTGAAGGCTGGGGAGACATTTCAGCTGTTGGACACACACACACACACACACACACACACACACACGTGGAGTTTTACGTTTTTACAACCATACATTAAAGTGGACACTAGCATCGTTTCCCTTTAAAGTCCGCAGATGAAACTTGATTCTGGACGATGGCCGGTTGTCCCACCGCAGCCGGTCTGGTCCGGTCTTTATTGGTGGGGTGTGGTCACACACATGCTCCTCCCTCAGTGTCCTAACGGCGTTGTCTTGCGTCCAGGTGAAGACCAGAGCAAAGAGGCACTGCAGGACGTGGAGGACGAGGCCCAGTGAGACTCTGCCACCAACAGCCAACAACTCGATACCCCTCTGCCCCTCACCTCCTCACACTCCTCCTCACCCTTCCACCGTTGTCCTCCTCATCCATCCCCCTCCCTCCAGGACCCAGCAGGGTCGTGGAGTTAAGTTTATTTTTCTCTTATTTTTGTATTAGCCCTCACACCGTTGGATTTAATACCACTTAATTGAGACAGGAAGTCCAATGTTAGAGAAACAAAGATAAAGACGGAGGTCCTGGCTGGTTTGCTGTGTCGTGTCCTGGTACAAGCAGTTCTGAAGATCTTATCTTTGTTTTCATTCTTGTATCTTTGGTTTTGCTTTCTCCTCAGTATTTGTATCAGTTGCTGGATGTATTGAGATTGTTTCCTAATGTAATTACAGAAATTAACTTTTATTACTAATGTTGAATAATAGTTATGGGAGCTGTTTTGTCTGTTTTTAGTGAAATGTTGAGCAGATTTACCTTTTTGTTAACTTAGTTTTTCAGAGGAAGGTGGCAACATGTGTGATATCCATGTGGGGCAACTCCGAGCGTAACGTTTACACCATAGTGATTCTGTTCCGGAGCGCGCCGCGTGCCTGTGCCGGTACCTGTACCGGTACCGGTACCTGTACCTGTACCTGTACCGGTTTAGAACTGGGATGCTGTCAGTGTGCACACATGCTGACTCTCCTCTAGAGATCAAGTCTGGCCCCGCCCCTCTGCAGGAAGCCCCAACAAATCCTGGTGAGTGTTTGCACAAATGAACACATTACCCCCCCCCCCCACACACACACACACACACACACACACACACCATATTGAAGCTCCTTTAGGATCAGTGATTTTCTTTCTTTTGCGGTTTTCTGTCCCTCTCCTGGTTTGGTCTCATTCTGTGTAACTTGGAGCTGATTTGTACTACTGGATATCTGCTGGAGGGAACCTGTAATGTTCTTGATGACACGTGGCATGGAATTAACATTAAACGATCTAATTAAGAACACCCTGACTGGTTTTTCCTGATGTTTAGATCTTAGACTCGGGTCATTTACGTCCCTGCTGCATCCCTGGAATCTGAGTTATTTCACATTTATTTGTTTTATTCTAAGGCTTGTAGGACAAATACAGTTTGAATGTTTGTGAATGGTCAAAAGCAGTCATGTGATCACTGCAGCCATTTGAAGACCAGATCTTGGTTGTGTGACTCAGACGCCTTTATGCCCACAGCCACTGAGGGATCCTGACTTAAGGTTGTTCCTCAGCATAGCTGCCATTACATCACAACCTTGGTAGTCGGACTTCCTCCGTCTAAATTTAGGTGCCAGTCTGAGTGGAGGAGCCTGTCAGAGCAGACGGACACCATAAGGAGCATCCTGACCTGCAGCGAGATGAGTCCCTCAGACGAAACCAGCAGTTGGACCGATCTGATGATTTACACTAAAGTGATTAGAAGAGCTACGTGTCTTATTCTTTAATCAAACAAGCAAGATAATTGTGAGGTGAGTGGGTTACTGGTGTGGCGAGCCTGTAGTGAATCAGGAACCCCCGTCCTGCATGACTAGCATGTCCACAGTCCAGCATGGGGCCGGCATGGTGCTGATCTGCTGGAGGTTTACGGTAAGTTACAGAAGCTTCGGTCCAGGATGCCGCAGGAGAGAATACAGCAGCTGTATCCACTCTGCTCCACCTGAGGAGGCGTCGCACCCCACAGACAGGTCTGTTCTGTCCACCTCCCTCCTGTAGGAGGGAAGAGTGGTGATGTGAGGCCGACAGATCTAGGGATCTCCTAAAGGAGGTGCAGCAGCTCCTCTGGTGGTTTCTGCATGTCAAACTGCCCGTCACGAGAAATGGGAGCAAATCAAAGTCTAAACCTGCCAACACGATAAAACAATCATGTTCAGATGTGGTTTTTATTAAAACACCAAATTACTATCAGGAAGTCCACAGAAAATAGTTAAAGGTCTTCTGGTTGTCCAAAATGCTGCAGCGAGAGTCGTGAGAATTAGAGGCAAGGCAGCTTTATTTCTAGAGCACATTTCAAACTCAGAGGCAATTCAGTGTGCTTCACCATTATCAGAACATATGAAAACAAAAACATAAAAATACACACAGAATTAGTCTAGAGCTAAAGGAGAAGACCAAGTTACAGCGGAGACGATGCAGCATAAGAAACAATTCATGTAAAGGCTGATGAGCACATGAGGGTTTTAGCTTTAAACAACACTGGCTGGGGCAGATCTGAGGTCATGGGAAGCTGAGTCCACATGTGAGCAGCATAGTAGCTACAAGCATCTCCACCATGTTTGGTTCTGACCCGAGGTTCTACCAGCTGATTGTTACCTAAGGATCTCAGAGCCCTGTTGGGTGTGTATACAGGAATGAGATCAGACATGTTCTGGTCCCATGCCACTGAGTGGTTTATAAACCAGTAGGAGCACTTTGTAGTCTGTTCTGTGGTTTACTGGTAACCAGTGTAGAGATCTGAGAACAGGAGTGATGAGCTCCGTTCTCTTGGTTCTTGTTAAGACTCTAGCAGCAGCGTTCTGAACAAGCTGCAGTTGCTTCACAGCTTTTGGGAAGACCAGTTAGGAGACCAGTGCAGTAGTCCAGCCTGCTGGAGATGAACACATGAATGAGTTTCTCTGAGTCTGGTCTGGACATGAGACCTCTGACTCTTGATGTTAGATGAAGGTGATAAAACGCTGATTTAGTTATAGCCTTAATATGTCCAGAGAAGCTCAGGTCGGAGTCAATAACACCTGGATTTCTAACCTGGTCTCTGTCTTTATTCCCCTGGAGTCCAGCTGAGCAACAACATCCATCCTAACCTTCTTGTTGCCAAAGACAATAACTTCAGCTGTCTTTGTTTAGCTGAAGGACGTTTGACTGCATCCAGTCGTTTACTTGTTCTAGGCACTGACAGAGTGAGTCCAGTGGCCGACGGTCACTAGGTGATAGGGCGAGGTAGATCTGGGTGTCATCAGCATAGCTATGATAGGCTATGTTGTTATTAAAGGGGCATTATGTAAGTGTGTCAGCCAAAACATGTATAGAAATAATAAATGTCTTCATACGTTCTCCTGCAATGCCCTGGTCCTGTAGAATGAGCCCTGGCATTTTTACTGTGATTGCCTGTTTTTCTGTAAAATCACAGAAAAAGAGAGATGCTCGGGTCGAGCAGGCTGCTTCATGCGCGTTCACGCTCAGGCATCGCCCTCCGAACCGATCTTAAATCGTGCAGATACAAGTTACAACACTGGCGCGATAGCTCGCCTTGTAAGACGTCGGACTCTCGTGCATATGACCCGGGTTTGATTCTGGATGTGAACATAGTTTATTTAGAGTTTCTTTTTTACATTAATGGTATATTTTTTTACAGTAAGATGCCCAAATTTTTATTTGAGACTCGCTGAATGGCATTGAATTCACAGATAAAAAAAGATGTGGGTTCAACTTTCATTTTGGAACAATTTTTCAAGCAAGGGAAGGGAATGATCTGAGCATGCAGGAGGACTGACCCATCATAAACCTTTGTCGGCTGTGCTGAAGAGAAAGGTACAGAACCACATTATTTAATTAATTAGCTGCACGTTCTCCTGTCCTCTGTCCTCCAGGACACACACACACACACACACACACACACACACGGAGCTGACTGTCTTATCTGACTGTTATTTTCGTTAAGGAGTGTGCACGTACAGCATGTGCGCCTCGTGCACGAGCCTACTATTGAAGCTGCCGTTACATTTTTGGCCTGAGGGGGCAATCGCGAGCATAAAAATTCAAAACTCCGTAAAGTCCCTTTAAGTGTGACCTGACCCAGGGGGAGCATATAGAGATTGAAGAGTAGTGATCCTAGATTTGAGCCTTGGGGGACCTCACATGTCATGGTGATCCGCTTTGATTGGTAGTCCCTAATGTGGGCCATTCCCATCGGTACCGAGTCGGCCCGGGCCGGGTAGCGTAGGTTGTTTACATATCTGGGTGGCCTGGTATTTTTCCGGGCCAACCAAGGCTCATTCTCAGCCCTCTTCTCGAGGGGGTCTGCTTCAGGCCGACCAGGGCCAACACACCCACTGCTGACAGCCTTCCATTAGAGCAAGCCTCTGATTGGTGGGTAGAATCAGCCCACATGGGCTTAAGATAAGGATGTGTGGAATCAACCGGGCCAGGCTGGGGCCGACTGGGGCTACCCGGCCCGGGCCGACCCGGTACAGATGGGAATGGCCCAATAGAGACAGCATAGCCCCTGTTTTTGAGATAGGATTGGAAGCAGCCAAGCACTGTGCCTGATAGTCTCACCAAGTTTGTGAGTCTGTCCAGAAGGATGTTATGGTCCACAGTATCAAAAGCTGCACTGAGGTCAGGCATCATTAGGACAGATGCTTTACCTGAATCATACAGTGCGTTTACATGCGGTCAGTAACCCTTTTAAAACCCGAATATTCACAATAACCCGGTTCCGCAGGTCCTTGTAAACACCGCCAAAAACCCGGATATGCTCATAACCGGGTTTTTAAAAACCCGGTTCCTACACCTGGGGTAACCCTTTTCTAACCCGAATGTTTGGTCGTGTAAACGCATACCGGGATGTCCCCATCAAAGCGTGTGTTCTGCACATGCTCTGTTCGCAAGGAATCTTGTTCTTTTGAGTAGCGAGACGTCTTGTACGCACCAGAACACCGGAAGTAAACAACAAGTTGGGGGCAAAATGGCGAGTCGCGGCACAGCACCACACTTTGAGTGACGAGGAAACTAAAGCGCAAACAAACGCGGTCACTATCTCTTCCGAACTGGGAAACATGTTGTTGTTTTCACGGATACCGGAACACGAAGAACCGGAAATGACGCATATTGCGTCTGGACGTAGTCCATACGTCCTGACGCTACCCCGACGTCCGCAGTTAAATCGGGTTATGCAAGTTAGGGGTAACTCTTTCTATTTATGCTTGTAAACGGGTTATTCTGATCAACTCAGAAACCCGAATCCCGACCTTAACCCGATCATAACCCGGATATTGGCTGCATGTAAACTTACTGATAGAGATCATATCTCTCCTGTCTTAGCTTCCCTACATTGGCTACCTGTTAAATTCAGAATAGATTTTAAGATCCTTCTTCTCACATACAAAGCTCTTAATAATCAAGCTCCATCATACATCAGTGATCTGATTGTTCCATATGTTCCTAACCGAGCACTTCGCTCTCAGACTGCAGGTCTACTGGTGGTTCCCAGAATATCTAAAATTAGGATGGGAGGCAGATCTTTTAGTTATCAGGCTCCTCTCCTGTGGAACCAGCTCCCAGCTTTAGTCCGTGAGGCAGACACCTTGTCTACTTTTAAGAATAGGCTTAAAACATTTTTATTTGATAGGGCCTATGGTTAAAATCTGATGTTAGCCTAAATCTGGACTGGGATCTCTCCACTCCGTCTATCTTCACTCCCAAACTCAGCGGGAGGCTCCTGACAGGACCTGGAGCTCCTTAAGCAACCAGGTGATTTCCTACCGATGAACAGCAGGTTAGACGGACATGTCTAAGAGAAAATAATGGAGCTTAAATGTCCCAAAGAGAAGAATAAATATTCTTCCTAGTGTAACACTGAGATGTTTTCTGCATTAGTTCTTACGTTTAACACGTGTTTGTGCAGATTCAGCACGTGCAGCGTGTGTCTACGTTTGTAAAAGGTGTGCTGGCTGCCGGGTTTGTAATGTGAGACCTCAAGAGGGCAGCAGACTCCCGTCACTCTTCTACAGGAGGTGTTTTTGGGGAAGTGAGTCGACTGTGGAGCAACTTTCCACTCATTAAGCTGTTCTTCAGTCACAGGCAGCCCCTGACCACGTCTTCCTGGCTTCCTGTGGAAACTGGAAACCGCCACAGTGTTCTGTTATCAGAGCGGATTGCTGCTTGCAGAGTGGGACCTTGGGAACAACGTCAATGAAATATTAGGAACTTCCTCTGCTGCCGCTGCAGAGACGGCAGTTATAAATAGCCGGAGGTA